TACTCCTTGGAAGGAAAGTTATGACCAACCTAGACAGTATATTAAAAAACAGAGATATTACTTTGCCAACCAATGTCCATCTAGTCAAAGCTATGGTTTTTCCAGTAGTCATGGATGGATGTGAAAGTTGGACTATAAAGAAAGCTGAGTGCCAAAGAATTGATGCTTTTGAACTATGGTGTTGGAAAAGACTCTTGAGAGTCCCTTGGACAGCAAAGAGCTACAACCAGTCCATCCTAAAGGAAATCAGTCTTGACTCTTCATTGAAAGGACTCATGCTGAAGCTTAAACTCCAGTACTTTGGCCACCTGATGCAGAGAACGGACTCACTAGAAAGGACCCTGAAGCTGGGAAAGATTGAAGGAGGAGAAGAGGATGACAGAGGATGAGATGGTTGGATGGCATCACTGATTCTATGGACATGAGTTTGGGTAAGCTGCAGGAGTTAGTGATAGACAGGGAAGCCTGGCATGCTGCAGTCCATGGGATCGCAATGAGTCAGACATGACTGAGTGACTGAACTGTGCTCAACTGAAAGCATTTGGGGAGAGAGCATCTTTTTGCCTAGATGAATGGATGTCATAATTTCATGGTGCAATGTCTTATTATTTTAATGCTATGCTTTTGAGTGCTTGTGGACCTAGAGCAAAACGGCAATGTCAACAACCAATCAATCAGTTATAGTGCTTGAACAAGACAGAGAATTTAGAGACTTCACAGAGACTCATTAATAGAAGGGACCTTTACAGTCCCGTGATAGAATTCACTCACAGAGGCAACAAATCAAAGATACAATATTCCAACTGTTTGGTTGTTTAGTTGATGCTTCCATACCTCCAGTGGTGTGACTTCTTAGTGCCATGGTAACACATTCCATTTTCAAGCATCTCTCATAAATAGGAACTGATTATTTTAGCATTTCTCCTTCTCCCAATCCAGTCTCCTGAATCTTTTGCTCACTGGGATCACTTGTTAGAAACTCAGAATGGCATTGCTGAGCTGTTACTCTTCCCAGGAGAAGATACCTGCACTGCAAAATCACATTGATTTCTCCCTTATCCTTGGCATGTGCTCTCCCACCTCTTGGGATGCACTTTTCATTATGCCCAGTATTTGCCTACTGACTACAGAACCTTAAGATTCTCATTTTTCCCCAAGACCTCTATCACTGACCTTTTCAATCAGATATGTAGTGTTAAGGTTAAGTCAGAGTAGTTTCCCTAAATATTCTAGATGTTACCAGATTATAGTTTAGTAGAATGAAATATCATTGAAACAAATAGGTGTATGTGATCATTCTTTTGACTTTTATTTTGTTCCTTTGTAAGATGCTTCTAGTGTACACTATCCACTTTCTGTACTAAGTTCCCTCATAGATTTGTGCTTCTATTTATCTTATCTTCAACCATAAGTTCTCCATGGTGGAAAAAGACAATAGCTCTCAGTCATGGGAATTAATATCATATGGAAGAGAGATCAAATTTCTGTTCTGCTACTCACTAACACTTGATTAGGGGAATATATACATAAGTCACCTCAAGAAGTGTTTCACATATATTATGTTATGACCTTTAAATATCTATTTTCCCACTACTTTCTTTCTATATATTAGGTCCACCCATGGATTAGAACTATTTTCTTTCTCTTTCTCTCTCTTTCACAGGGTCAGTCCATTTGCAAGTAGACACCTTTTGAAAAGACCACAATTCTTATATTTTCAAGGATATCTCAAAACAAATTGATTCATCACCATTATTAGTAGAGAATCATTTTTTTTTCTTACTTGTTCCATGATAAGGTAAGATTTTGTCTACTTTGTTTAAGTCTGTATGCCTTACTTAACATAAACCATTCTCAAATTTATAAATTATTTAACTTCCAAGTCATAGTATTAATGAGAACTTATAGCACATCCATAGAGAAGAGCAGAGCTTAGTGCTGCCCTCAATGATTAAAGAATACATGAGTAATAATTGCCAGCCCATTTGTGGTTTGTAGACTTTTTGATGATGGCCATTCTGGNTGTCAAATGTGTCATCCATAATTTCTTAGAGTTTTTTCTATCTTTTTTTCTCTCTTTTAGGTACATATGTAAGAGTGTAATTCCCATGTCATAGGGAAAGCAGATAGTCAACAGTGGTAGAAAAAATAAAAGTGTTTCACTTTTTTAATACAGTGGTGTCATGTACTCTCCTGATATGAGACTTCTGAATTCTATTGGTGTGTATCTATCCTTGTTTGTTTGTTTTAAACTGAGCTTTAATTGACACGGCATTATATTGTTTATAGGTGTTCAACATAATAATTTGATATTCGTAGATGTTGCAAAGTTATCACTGCAGTAAGTCTGGTTAACATTAACATCTGTCACAATTGATAACTACAAAGTCTTTTTTCTTGCATGAGAATTTTTTTTTCATTTATTTTTATTAGTTGAAGGCTAATTACTTTACAATATTGTAGTGAATTTTGCCATACATTGACATGAATCAGCCATGGATTTACATGTGTTCCCCATCCCGATCCCTCCTCCTGCCTCCCTCCCCATCCGATCTCCCTGGGTCTTCCCAGTGCACCAGCCCTGAACACTTGTCTGCATGAGAACTTTTAAAGTCTACTTTTCTAGCAACTTTAAAAGATTTCAGTATTATTCACTATGGTCATTATGCTGTACATCACATTCCCCATGCATTTATTTTATAACTGGAAGCCTGTACCTTTCGATCCCATTTAACTATTTCACCCACCCCACCTCCCACCTCTGGCTACCATTGTTCTGTTCTATCTATGAGCTCAGTTTCAGAAATTTTTTTTTAAGATTCCATATATAAGTGAAATCACATGGTATTTGTCTCCAACTTATTTCATTTAACTTAATGTCCTCAAGGTCCTTTCACATTGTCATAAATGGGAAGATATCCCTCTATTCATCACTGAATAACATTCCATTATATAATATGTTCCATGTTTTCTTTATCCATTCATCCATTGACAGACACTTTGGTTGTTTCCGTGTCTTGGCTAGTGTAAACAATGCTATAATGAACATGTGGCTGCATAAGTCTTTTTGAGTCAGCGTTTTTGTTTTCTTCAGATAAATGCCAAGAAGTAGAATATTTAGATCATATTCTATTCTCCTCATGTCCAATTTTAATTTCTGAGGAATCTCCGTAATGTTTTTCATAGTGGCTGTGCCAATTCCCATTTCAACTAACAGGGAAAGGGGTTCCCTTTTTTTCATAGTCTCATTAAATCTTTGTATGTCTTGACGTTTTTATGATAGCCATGCTAAAACTGGTATGAATTGATATCTCATTGTGGTTTTGATTTGCATTCCTGTTGATTAGTGATATTAAACACCTTTTCATGTATCTGATGGCCATTTGCATGTCTTCTTTGGAAAAGTATGTCTTTAGAACCTCTGCCCATTTTAAATGAGGTTGTTTCATTTTTGCTATTGAGTCATGTGAGCTATTGAGTTATGCATTTTTAATATCAATCCTTTATGAAATATGATTTGAAAATATTTTCTCTCAGTTCAATAGGTTTCCTTTTCATTGTGTTGATAGTTTCCTTTTCTAGGCATAAACTATTTAATTATTCCCACTTTTAGATCTGTTGCCTTTATTTTGGTGTCAAATCAAAAAGTCAGCATTAAGACCATTATCAAGGAGCTTACTATCTATTTTCCTTTCCAGGAGTTTTATAATCTCAGGTCTAATGTCAAGTCTTTAATCCATTTTGAGTTAATTTTTGTGGATGGTGTATGAGAGGAGTCCAGTTTCATTCTTTGGCACATGGCTGCCCAGTTTTCCCACAACTATTTGTTTAAGAGATTGCAATTTCCTTATTGCATTAATATATTCTTGGCTCCTTTGTAATAAATCAGTAGGCCATATAATGTGTGGACTTATTTCTGGCCTCTTTACTCTATTCCATTGATCTAGGTGCTGGTTTTTTCTAATCTATACAGTTTTGTTTAATATAGCTTTGTAATACTGTTTGGAATCAAGGAAAAAGATGCTTCCAGCTTTGTTCTTCTTTCTCAATATTGCATTGGCTATTTTGCAGTTCCACACAAATTTAAAATTTTTCCCTTTTTTCTGCCATTGGAATTACATTATTGTTTTATCCTTTCTACTGCTGACTATATGTTTTCCCATTATATGGCAATTATACTCTAACATATACATCTAAAAGAGAGAAAATGGGGCCTAAAAGCTTTAAGAAATTGTGGCTGAGATTCAACATTTGTCGGAGTATGTAAATTTACAGATTCAAACATACCTTAGTTATTCTCCTATCTAACCTGCTTGTCACAAATTATAGAAGAAAGTATATGCAAGTTGGGATGTCTCACCAGAGGTCATTAACCTAAACTAGAAAATAGCACTGAAACAGTAAGGAAGGGATGCTGTTTGAGAAAATAGGATTCAGTTTTTGCCTCTATTCCAGTTTTGGTGCTGATTTTCATTTGAAAAACAATGTGCCAACCATCCTCTATTCAGATGACCCTGATAAAACTGGGAAACACTTCAAACTAGTTTCCAAATACAGATATATACAAATACATGTGGAAGTCTTAACTCTGACTTTGTCAGAGACCGGGCTTGAACTCAAGCAGGCTTCATTCATCACAGAATGCATCAGCATCCTGACCCTTTGGAGGCAGGTCCCAGTCTAAGTAGAGCCAAAGGAACAAAGCTGAGAAAGGAGAACTATTCTGACCGTCACAGAGCCAGCAGGAACTCCCCATGACCAGATGATGTCACAGGACCAGAAATGCTGCTGGTGATGATTCCTGACTTTTTCATTTCTAGGAAAGATTCTTAAGTACTAGACCCAATGAAGGAAAAGATCAAACACTAATTTACAGAGGCCTCTCTATAAAACACTAAGAAAGCAACTTCCTCCATGACAATGATCAAAACTACAACAATAACATAAAGAACAACCAGGAAAGTCCTGCTTATTGGTCCCAACATTGGGGGTCCAGGATATAAAAGCCCCAGAACAGGAGGAGTGAGCAGAATCTGAGAAACTCACTTCTGAACAGGAGTCCATCCTCATCACAGACACAATGACCCACTCGTGCTGCTCCCCGTGCTGCCAGCCCACCTGCTGTCAGCCCACTAGCTGCAGGACCACTTGCTGTGAGTCCAGCTGCTGCAAGCCCTGCTGCCCCCCAGCTTGCTGTCAAACCACCTGTTGCAGGACCACCTGCTGCAGACCTACTTGTGTGACCTCCTGCTGCCAGCCCACCTGTTGCAGCAAACCCTGCTGTCAGCCCACCTGCTGTGAGACCATCTGCTGCCAGCCCTCCTGCCCCCCAACTTGCTATCAAACTAGTGAAACCACCTGCTGTAGGACCACCTGCTGCAAGCCTACTTGTGTGACCACCTGCTGCCAGCCCACCTGCTGTGGGTCCAGCAGCTGTGGACAAACCTTCAGTGGGTCCAGCTGCGGCCAGCCTTGCTGTCAGCCAGCTTGCTGTGCTCCTGTGTACTGCCACAGAATCTGCTACCACCCCACGTGCTGCTGCCTCCTTGGGTGCCAAGCCCAGGAATGTGGATCCAGCTGCTGCCAGCCTTGTAGCCGCCCTGTCTGCTGTCAGACCACTTGCTGTCGCCCTACGTGTGTATCCAGCTGCTTCCAGCCTTCCTGTTGCTGATCACCTCACCAGAGAACCCCTGTCCCCAACAACACTTTATAGCAACTGAGTTGCTACTTGGGGACAAAAAATTACTTCTTAGACTTTGCTGACTGGTATGCTCTACCAGAATTTGTTACCCATCTGCCTCTTTAAAAGCTTATAAATCAGCTTGATAGAGTGCAGAGGGTTCTCCCAGTTGTCTTTCTCTGGTGTAGGAAGACCATGTGCCAGGCATCTTTGATAAAGACTTATGTCTTGGTTTTGACTCTGAAAATAGGACTGACCATGTTGTACTTCTAAGTAATTTAGGAAAACAAATCCTCTTAATGTTTCTATAGGTTTCTGCAGCTTATCATGATTAATATAATCATATGTTTCTCTATCAATATCCCCATGGCTCTTGTACCCTGCATTTTCCTTTTATGATGCCTTTGAATTGTCTTCCTAGATGCGGTAGTCTTGCCTGTGTGTTTCTCAATAAATTCTTTGCTATAATCTTCCTATATTGTGTTTGATTTTTACATGGCATTCCTGATATAGAGATTTAAGTACATACTACATACTATATGCATTATCCATTATGAGTATCATGTTGGCTCTCAAAATCAATTATTAGCTCATTAAGTAAATTGTGTAGTATGCTTTAGCCAGTAATGAACACACTCATCCAGGATAGGGTCTTCTGTTCCTGGTCACAGGTATTTACATATACATCCCAAGGAAATAGATGCTTGAATCTCAGTGACTAAGCTGTAGTTGTTGTCTTTGTTTATGTGCTATTGCTGGGCATGGACACATCATAAGATATGCCAAGGAAATTATGTTCAGACTATTTATCCCTACTCTCTACCTCTTCTTGATAACCATCCCTCAGCAATCAGTAACTGCAAAAGAACCCCTGTCCCACACAACACCTTATGTTAATTGACTTGCTACTGAGGACAAAAAAAATCACTTCTTAGACTTTGCTGACAACTGGTATGTTCCACCAGAATTTGTTACAAATCTATCTCTTAAAAAAAAATCTTGCAAATCAGCTTGATGGAGTTCAAAGGGCTTCCCACTGGTCTACCTACATGAGGAATGCAAAATGATGGACACGACTGAGTGACTGAACTTAACTGATATTCCTTCTAAGAAATGTGACTCTCATAGTGTTAAAGCCTTCAGTCCAGGATGGGAAGCACTGGTTCCCAAGAACATTACTTTGAGTTAAGTTGGGAAGATTCACTCCTACATCACTTTTTGAAACCATGTGTACTACCTCTGTGTATATATTTGGTACTACCTATATAGGAACCAGGTAATGGTCTTTGGGTCAAGGTATACTCTACATCCAGAAGACACTATATCAGAATCACATGCTGTCACCTCTAAATTGGTTCTTTGCTCCATATTTGCAAGACTATTCCAATTTTCCATGGGGCCAGTCATCTCTGTCATGTGATGTTTGGTAGAATAAGTAGCTCTCATGTTTGTGCACCTGTTGTTGATCTTGTTCTTCAAAAAGTGGGTCTCTTGGTCCAAACTGATGCTATTCAGAATCCTATGACAATAATAGTATAAGCCAACAGTACTGCTGATAGGGACAACAAATCCATGTTTAGAATATGCAATCCTAGAAAGAAGAACCTCTCTGTTTTTCTACAAGTCTGAGAGGATAACTTGCCTTTGTGTGGCTTGGTTAATGAGTTATGATGCTACCCTATCAGTGCTCAATAACATTCTATGCTTCTGACTAGCAGCACATACAGCAGGGGGAGCCATGGTGAGAGGGAGCCTGTGCTATTGGGTTCACACAAATCCTCTATCACTGCCACCATGGATACTTTCTTCACATTCTCTTGTGTAAATATTGATGCACCTGAGGACAGAGATGGGATGAGTTATTCCAAATTTGTAGCTGTCTAGTGCCTTCTCTATCATGAACACTCTGAAGATCATTGACGTGGGACACAAGTGGGAAACACCTTCTGTCCTCAACCCATCTTTATATAAATAATTATTCTCCAAATCTCCTTATGTTCCAGTCTTGCTTCTCCCAAGCTCAATCCAGTCAGGACTTTCACCACTTGCAAACAGCCAATGAACATCATTGCAAGGCCACTTTTCCTCAAAATAAATATGTCATGCCCATATGTACTGTTGATTGTTCACTTTAAATATTTTCTCTTTCCACTGCCTTTGAAGAGCAAAGATGTTATCTGTGGTACTCAAAATTCTCCACCTGGCATAAAAACTTCTATGGGGCTGTGGACTGGTGAAACTTAAGGTATTGCATGTTTATATTTTATGATCAATTAGATTTTGCAAGAATCAAATGCAAGTATTACCTGTGTATTCTTTAGTCATTGAGGGCAGCACAAAACTCTACTGTTCTCCTTGGATGTGCTATAGTTTCTCATACCTTCCAATACCTTGACCTTGTTGTTGTTCAGTCTCTCTGCTGTATCCAATTCTTTGCAAACCTATGGACTGCAGCACNTGGCTGCAGTCACCATCTGCAGTGATTTTGGAGCTCAAGAAAATAAAATTGGTCACTGTTCTCATTGTTTCCCCACCTATATGCCATTAAGTGGTGGGACTGGATGCAGTGATCTTAGTTTTTTGAATGTTGAGTTTTAAGCCATATTTTCACTCTCCTCTTTAACCTTCATCAAGAAACTCTTTAGTTCTTTCTCGCTTTCTGCCATAAGGGTGGTGTCGTCTACATATCTGAAGTTACTGATATGTCCCCCGGCAATCTTGATTCCAGCTGTGCTTCATCCAGCCTGGCATTTCACATGATGTACTCTGCATATAAGTTAAATAAACATGGTGACAATTTACAGCCTCGATGCACCCCTTTACCAATTTTGAGCCAGTTTGTTGATCCATATTCAATTCTAATTGTTGCTTCTTGACCTGCATACAGGTTGCTCAGGAGACAGATAAGGTGGTCTGGTATTCCCATCTCTTGAAGACTTGGAAGTTTACAATTAGTAGATTTGAAGCTAATTTGTGTTAAGTCAGGCATACAGGTGCTTCCCAGGGGGGCGCTAGTGGTAAAGAACCCGCCTGCCAATGCAGGAGACTTAAGAGACATAGGTTTCATCCCTGGATTGGGAAGATCCCCTGGAGGAGGGCATGGCAACCCTCTCCAGTATTCTTGCCTGGAGAATCCTATTTACAGAGGAACCTGTTGGTCTATAGTCCATAAGTTTGCAAAGAGTTGGACATGACTGAAGCAACTTAGTGTGCACCCATGCAGGCATACAGTGTTAAACAAAAGAGACAAAACAGATTATCATGGAACAAGTAAGGGAAAAGCCAATTCTCTGGTGATGAATAGATTTGTTCCTGTGATATTCTTAGAAATATAACAATTGTGGTTTTTCAAAGTCATCTGCTTATAGACTGGTTGACCCATAAAAGCAGGGGGAAGAGAAAGAAAACACTTGTAGATTAATACATAAGTGGGCATAATATGAAAGAAAGTAGTGGAAAATTAACACAACATTGTAAATCAACTATAATTAAATAAAAATAAGTTAAAAAATAAAAAATGATAACATAATATATATGAAAAATATGTTCTGTACATTCTCCCAATAAGACTAGTGAGTGGCAGAACAAGACTTTGAGTACTCTTCCGTATGATTTTAATTCCCATAATTAAGTGAGTGATAGTTGCTCAGTCATGTCTGACTCTTTGCAATCCCATGGACTCTAGCCTGTCAGGCTACTCTGTCCTTGGAATTCTCCAGGCAAGAATATTAAGAGCTGTGGTCTTTCCTTCCTTTATAGAGATTTTATGATTGAAGATAAAATCAGAAGTAAAGAAAAGCACAATCTAAGAGTGAGTTTAGTAAAGAAAGTGTATGCATGCATGTTAAGTCACTTCAGTCCTGTCTGACTCTTTATGATCCCATGTACTGTAGCCTGGCTGGTGCCTCTGTTCATGGGATTCTCCAGGCATGAATACTGGAGTGGGTTTTTATGCCTTTTTCAAGGGAATTTTCCTGACCTAGGGATCTCTTATGTCTCCTGCATTGGTAGGCAGGTTCTTTATCACTAGTGCCACCAGGGAAGCCGAGTACAGAAAGTGGATAATGTAAATTAGAAACATCTTAGAAAGGCACAGACACAGTCATAAGAATGATAACGTATGTCCATGCATTTCAATTGTATTTCATTCCACTAAACCATAATCCAGTACATTTAGAGTATTTAGAGAAAATGTTTGGACTTAACCTTAACACTATAGATCTAGTTGGAAAAGTCAGTGACTGGGGCCTTAGGGAAAAATGAACATCTGAGGTCAGTAG